TTAAAATTGTAAGCAACGACATAACGTTTTCAGATCCAGCATGCTTACAAAAGCTGGCTGAAGAAGTGGCCGGTCACAAAGAACAAGGTCTTGTCCCCTTTGGAAACTCCAATACCTATCAGGTGTCTGGGAATGATAAGCAAAGTGTTCAAACTATCAAGTTCGCCAAGCCTTACGGGACGCCACCGACTGTAGTGTTATCAGTGGAAACTATGGATGCAAGTAAAGACACAAACTTGAGGTATTCGGTTCGTGTGGGACAGATCACAACAACTGGTGCTCAAATCACTTTGGCTACATGGGCAGACACACAGATCTTCGGTGCCTATGTGCGCTGGTATGCATTCGATTAGAAATCTTAAACACAATTTAAAGACGGCTCTTTTTTTTTACATAACTGTTTTGCTACTAACGTCTTTAAAAATTATGTTTTAATTTCTGCTCAATAAAAAGCAAAAGTGGCAAAAGTATTTGGTGTTAATTTATTTTAGTCTTTTTTTTTAAATTTAAATATTTTTCGGATTGTTAAAACATTTCATCATTCAAATACATTTAATGGTGTGATATTCTTTTTTTAAAGCTAATTTGAAGAAGAGGTTTGTAAATTGCGGGGTTAACAGCCCCAGATAGTAAAAGAACCTCAACTTTTAAAACGGCAAACATATCAACCTATGATGCTTATTAGTGCATGCCACGCACAGGTAACTTGTAAACATAAGATCACAGAAATTATAACATACAATATCTCAGGTTATAATGATCTAGTCAACAAACACATTTGAGTTTTATCATACATACAGTCGATAACAAAAAGAATATATATAAAAGAAGAGCCGCTTTCGTGAAGCTTTTTAAACGACATGATTTTACAAAAGCTGTTCTCGACAACATACTATTGAATGAAACACAGGCTTAGATAAAAATAGTAACAGCCTATTTAAAATGAAAATTCAAACCATCTTGGAAAGATGTCCTATATCTAATGGCGTTGCTGGAGAATGCGGGTGGGGCGGTCGACCTTAAGGGGGCGCCAAAAGGGGTAGAAAAAATTTAAAAGTTCATTTTAAGTTGGAGTGTTAAATTCTACACAAATATGGTTTAACTGTTTCTAGGTCAATTCTGTGGCACCACAAGAAAATCCTTTACGGGATAATGAATGGTAAAAAGTTCCACTAACTTTTCCAATTCAGGGGAGGATGGGGGTGGGGGTGCTTTTTCATTAACTTTAACCATATTTATAAATGGGCGAGGGAAGGGGGGGCGCAAAATGATTCTTCACGGGGGCGCAGAATGGGTCTCTACGCTGCTGCTTATATCAGCTGACCTTCAAGTGACCTGTCATTTTCTGTTGAAAGAAAGTACCAGACGGCATCGTTACGACTTTGCTAAAAGAGTTTCGACTTTTGCTAAAAACCGCACAAGATAGGCAATGGCAAAACAAATACTCCAATGATAGGAGAAAAAGAAAATAGATCACTCATTTAATTTATGGCAAATAAAACACGAGCAAACAAACTTAGGCCTGTAGGTCTACTTGTAATCTGCTGTGACTGACGGCGTATATCCAGTTTTTCTTCCAAAAACTTCTGCAACCAGGGGAAGTATATATTTTCTATATAAATTCTATTTAGTTTAGGGGCTTATACGTAGCCAACCCAACCCCCTCAAGAGATGCATGGAAGAAACTCTGCGTATATCCATCAGCTATATGTATGACATAAAGAATATTATTATTATGTTAAGATGTTGACTGACAATGTGAGCCATGTTCTTCAAGTATTCAATTAGGCACCGAGAAGGCGAAATACTAAGCATGACGTGAGTTATAAAAGTTAGGTTGGCCCATTTTGTGCTTCAATTCGTGACTTCTGAAAGGTGATCAGGCACCGAGAAGGCGAAAAACTAAGCATGAAGTGAGTTATAAAAATTAGGTTGGCCCATTTACAACACATAAAATTAACTTTAGTGGTTGACAGCTTCAATTCGTAATTTCTGAAAGGTGATTATATTTCGTCTTTGCAGCAGTCCTAACTTGCTTCCATTTTATTTGACTTAAATCTCCGATAAAGGCGCGGCTCTGCTGAAAATGCTCAAAAGGAAAGTAGTCGTTCACGCTGCCAAGGGTTGTCCATAATGACGTCACACTCGGAGGGTGAAGTGGGGAGGGGGGGGGGGTCCGTAATTTTGTGATGGTGTGTGATGAGGGATTCAGATGGTGTGACGTTTTTGCATTATAAAAAAGCCAATGTTAGAAAACGAGTTTTAGACGTTATTTCGCGTTTTAGAAAACGGTTTCAAAAAATTGTAATAGGAATTGATCAAAATACTCTATGTTAACAGAGTTCTGTCAAGATTTTAGAAAAAATATCGATGTTTCAGGAAAAAAGTTAACAGCAATTTTGTGTTGGGATGGGGGGTTGTAGGCTGTAGGCTGAGGTGTGACGTCATTTTATGGGGGAGGGTTTGGCTTTTTGTGACGACGTGTGTCTTTTTAAACACAACACCTCAATGGGTAATAAGCACCCCCATTGAGTGAGTGTTACATTTTGGCTGACCCTGAGATAAAGCACACAATGAAACAACGCTGGTGTTGTCAAGTACTGGCTTTATTGACATTAACATTAAGCCATAAATGGCAATGTAGGACAGTAGAAAACAGTAGAACACATAAAAACAATGTAGAACACAGCGAAAACAGAACCCTTAAATGTAAACAATAGGTTACATCACTGGAAATACCACGTGTACGCTACACAGTAACACGGGTGTAATAAAATATGTTACGGCCAGTACACAGTACAGCCAACAAGTACCAATAAATAGTACAATACTAAATACCTAAATACTCAACCTAACTAGTGTGCAACATGCAGTACTAGCAGGAATACACAAATAGGTATTGTAATAATTAATCATAATTTATAATACCACATTACCTTCATTAGGTCTACATTGTCATGATCTACCTATAGGGCTGGTAAGTAGGTCACCAACATGTTTTACAGCTCAATATAACCTGCATGAGCCGTAGAACTGTTTATTGTAAAAATCGCTCACCGAAGAGCGTGCAAAAAAACATCAACAGTTGCGGTCCCATAGGGGCCGCAACCCAATAAATTACAACTTATTATTTATCCCCCCTGGCTGGTAGTAATAATATGTGTTACATTAATATTAATGTAGTCACACATATGTGAGGATTACAGCTTTTCAGGCATCTCTTCGAGGGACACCCAAGAACGAAATAGAAAAAATACTTTATTTAGAAAATATATACTTAAACCAGTGTCCGCCCCCTCCTCCTTAAATTTTTATCGCCCCCCCCCCATCGCGATCATTCAAAAGGTTTCAAGAGTCTTCCCCCCCCCCTCTTCCCCCATCCCTGAGAAATGTTTCTGAAACAAAAGAAAAACTGCTGAAGATGAAAAGAGAATTTCGGTTAGAAATATAGGTTTTAAAATATTTTAAAAACACATCAATACAATTTTTTACTGACGTTTGCTGACACTGGCCTACACCACTGTAATTAATGTGGTTAATCTACCAAAGGAAAAAATAAAAAAATAAATTAACTTCTTTAAAAAATTCTGATTAACAGTCTGCCTGAAAACAAAAAAAATGTTCTCTACCTAATTACTATTTTACAGCTCAACACATAGTGCAGCTTCTCTCCTGTAGCCAACCGGACAAAAAAATATATATTAAAAAATGCAAACAAACTTGAGTTTTAGTAGTATACTAGACTACCGTCATCAATTGGATAACTGTGGGTTTCGGAGGTCATCCAAAAAAAAAACAACAACATCACGCCTGTTACTTATCGTTGCAAAAACCAGACCCACATTCAATAAGACGTTTTATTATCTTTTAAAAAATACCGATTTCGGCTGAGCATGGGTCTGACCACACTCCACCTTTATATTCTGACGTCACAGGTGACCTACTCAACTCAACATGTTTTTATCGTTTAAAAAAACGATTCCGGCCGAGCATGTCTCTGACCACACTATCCCTTCATATGCTGAGGACAAAGAAACATCTGAACTCTACTTCACCTGCCCTGTGTCCCGCGAGGTCCCGATTTACCTATTAAAAATATTTTAAACTCATGTATTCTTTGATAAAATGTTAAAGGGCATTAAACAATGAGCATTGATGCTATTTTTATGACTTTATGAAGCAACAGAAACCCAAAATAATTATTTTTCACTTTTGAGATAGAACAAAATACTATCAACTAGATCAGGATAAGAAAATTGTATAATGTTCTAAGTCAAATTTTGTTTTTTTATAGCCAGTTTCAATAGATTTTCAGAAGTGTAAACGACTTTTTTATGAGTAATAATATACTTTTGTATGAGTAATATCTTCTTTCTGTAAATCTGACTGCCCTTGGTCATTTATTTTCACTTTTTATCACTTCCATGGCAAAATTTATATATTAGAGTACATTACATGACATGTAATGTTTTTACAGTTCGTTATAAGTGGGTTTGTGCATTACAATGTAAAGTTTATTCTGTAACTTTGGGTTATCTGCATACATTAACATAATTTGATTCAGTCAGTGGTGAGTCTAGTTAGGGTGACACTCGGTGTGGTAACTGAGGGTGTCAACCCTCCACCCTCTTACAATTTTACATTTTTGGTTTTGTGTCACCCTCTACCCTATAATTTTATTTTAAGATTAACTGAATAAAGAATTATATTGACTGTAAATTTTAGTGTTTTTCACATTGGTGTCGCCCTCTAAATGGCGTCACGTGCGGATCATACCACGTCCCCAGCCTTGTGATACAACTGGAATTAAAGTATTAATACAATAAATGCAAAACTCAGGATTAGCTTAAAAAGTAATGTATTAATTTTACACAATGTACACAGTTCCTAATGCAAAAACAACCAGTCTTGTAATTGAATATTGAGAATATACATAAACACTGTTTCTTTTCTCATAATGATGCTGCGCAACTTGAATACAGGCAGCGCCAATACCCATATCATTGACACTGCATTACCAGGTCTCTGATGTTTTTATTGTTCTCTTTCGCACTTCTCTGTGAATAGAAATAAAGATAGACTACATCAGTACAAAGTGCAAAAACAGAAGGACTTATTTCCCCCACCTCCCTCTGCTACACTAATAAAAACTGAAAGCCAGGAATAAACTTATATTCATGGTTTTAAGACTAATGAGTTACTAACAATGAATTACTTCACATTTTGATCTGTAACAAAGACATTGTTTTCATCATCCATATATTGGAACACCTCCTCATTATGATTTTGATAATATAAACACTTACAAAGTAAACCCTACAGATACTATACTACTAAACAATACAATTAGTATAGGCGTATACTACGGTATACATTAACAATATTAGGCCTATTATCAATTAAGATATATTAACAAACTTTGAACTAAATATGTGTAAAATAGCACAATTAAGACAACATATAAAAGATAAATATACTTACGATTCAGGATCTGACAATTCAGTCAGTTTATTTGCATGACAACCAAAATCGATTAAAAGATGTTCACACGCCGCCATTTTGATCAACGACGCACAAGTCACATGACTAATTTCATTGGCAGAATCGGACATAGAACATTATAATTCTAGCGTATCCAAGGACAATTTATGCGTTAATTATATACTGTTAGAACAGAATCATATTATAAAATTGACGTAGAACAAGATTATACTGACCAAATGCATCGACTTGTAGTTAGAACAATGTCAAATTGAAAAGTTTGGTAGGAAGCAGATGACTTAGAGTTACGTAGATAAGTGGAGATTGAACATAGTTAGAAAATTTGTAGTTAGAACAAGATAATAATTTGTAAATGTAAAATTAGTCCTATACTGCAAAGTAAGAATCCCGCTCTAGCCAATTCCAAAACTAAACAAACAAAGATTTATATAAAATTATTAAGGCATGAAATAGTTTAGTATATAGTCAATATAGATCCTAGTTCTAGGTTCTAGATGTAGAATTTACGTTAAATGTAGATCTAGATCTAGATCTATATGTAGAATTTACGTTGAGCCTAGGTTCTAGTTTTTGCCGTAGATATAGATCTAGATCTAGAACTTAGATAGATAAATCCCATGCATTCTCGATTAAGTTGAGCATTAAAGGTAAACAAAGATTTATATAAAATAATTAAGGCCTGAAATAGATTCTAGATTCTAGATGTAGAATTTACATTAAGTCTAAATCTAGAATTTACGTTAAGTCTAGTGACCTAGAAAATCTAGATCTAGATTCATATCTTTTTCTTCCTTCGACAGCTGATCTGTAGACCTAGAGAAATGTATTGTATAATAAAATAGAAAGAACTGTTAACATATTGATAATAGCGTTGAAACGTAATAAAAATAGCAAACGGACGTATTGTAAAAGTTAAGGCCGACAGAAAATTAGCTTTATAACGCGTTAAAGATCTGAATGGGAAAAGAAATCTTGTATTGAAGCCGCCATTTATTATACTAAAAAGTACACATATCAAGTTACATCACTATTCACTCAAAGTAAAGTATTTGTTTTAAACTTTTATAATTAATGTGGTTATTCTACCAATGAATAAATCAATACATTAATTAACGTCTGTGTGATTAACAGTCTGTCTGAAAACAAAAAATTGTTCTCTACCTAATTACTATTTTACAGCTCTACACATAGTGCGGATTCTCTCCTGTAGACCCACGCTTTTCTTTATAGTGATTTAAATAGTAGTGTATAATTAATTTTCTATTTTTTAGTGCATTGAAAATGATGACGCGCTATTGAACGTGATGACGCGTGTGGAGTAGTTGGAAAAAACTGCCTACTAATTTGGTCAAAATTTTAAATTATTCATAAAATATTAATTAGGCATTCAATTAAGTCAAATTTAATGTCATGTTGCATTGTCTTCATGTCTTGACCCACATTTCAACTACAAACCGTATCTGTCAGTTAGAAGTGCAAGTAATTTCGCTCGGACTTTTCGATCTTATTCTAGACGGACGAGTGACGGACGACAGACAGAGGAAGTGAGTTAAATAAAAGCTTGTAAAAATGAGATACGTTAATTATTCTTGAATTTTTAAATTTAAAGTAATGTGTGAATTTTGTGTATTAATTATTGATAAAGAAAATATTGGTTTTGCAATAAATATAATTTTAACCGAAGCATTAATGGAAGTTACTTATTTTTTTAGTATATACTAAAATAACACTTATCATAAAATAATCTGTAATGCTGCTTCTTAATATGTTTATAACGAACGAGCCGACCCGCAGCGTATCATACGCCGCTATTTAGTTGTTTTAGTTTCTTCTTTTCAGTAATTCATAATTTGTGAATTCGACAGTACCAATGCTGCCACTGAAAATATTTGCTTTAAAAACTAACCCCCCCCCCTTTCCCCTAACCCCGACCCTACCCCTCCTCCCCCCCCCCCCCCCCCCCCCGTGAAAGCAGCTTCCTCTTAGTTATTTCTTAGTTACCTCCTGTAAGTTTAAAATCGAACTAAATTATCTGCCCCTAATATAAACCCGGCTCTACGATTTGTAAACATTTAGCTTTGTAAATATTTAACGTGACCACAGCTCACCAGACAATGTGGGGGTGGGGTGGGGGTGGTAGTGATAGTGATAGAGAGAAAGAGAGGGGACTGCAAGGAGGCGCTTGCGGCTTGTTTTCTAACGGCTCCCAGAAGAGAATTATATATATAGACACTTTCTACCTTGAACAATATAGGTCGTAGAATAATATGCATGTTACACCCAGCTTTCCATTTACTTTTGGAATCAGGTATAACACAAATGAAAACGAAATCCACGCAGTTCAATTGTAACAGTCCAATAAAATTTCCAAATTACTACAGAGAAACAGTGAACATTCACATGATAAAAACGGACTACATTATAATCTAAGTTGACGATACACCACACCCTTACACACTACAGTTCATACACTTCTATGGGGAGGCCACTCTCACACACAATCTCTCCGTGCCCACACGTTTTCGTTATGAACATCTAGGCCACAATACGCTTAGGAATACATTTTGTATATTTTGATTATGGGGTATATCTTTTTTATAATAACACAAATCAAATATTTTCTATTCAATTACGATACAAATATAAAACCTTACACATTAATGGGAAGCTTTACAGACAATATAACAAAAATAAAACTTTACAGTGAACAAGTCTTTCTCTTAAAAGGCGAAAATGAAGTATCTTGTTGATTAGAAAACCACGGAAAAAAATATCACATTTTTATATACACGTTTTAACAAAACATTTTGAAAGTAATCTGAGAATAGTTTGTTAGATATTGGAGAAAACTACAGTTTAATCTTTTTAATGTCTTTGTAGATGTTGGATTCAAGCTAATTATGCACCAGCTGAGCCCAACCAACAGGTGTCATTTATTTGTTAATGAAGGCAAACGAAAGATAAAGAATTTTCTATTGGGTCATACATAAATGACGTCACGCTTTTTAAACTATTTTTACCTCCCCCTCCCCTACATCACACGTCCTCACAAAAAGCCAGACCCCCCCCCCCCCTAAAATGACGTGACACCTCAGCCTACAACCTCCCCCCCCCCATCAAAAATGCAGTTGAATTTTTTTTTACATCGATATTTTTCCAAAATCTTGTGTAAACTCTGTCAAAATAGAGTATTCTTTTATTCTATTACAACGTATTAAAACAGTTTTCGAAAACGCGAAATAACGTCTAAAATTCGTTTTCTACATTGCTTTTTTATAACGCAAAAGTGTGACGTCGCACCATCTTTACCCCTCCCTCCCTCCCCCTCATCACACACTGTCACAAAATTACGAGTGTGACATCATTTATGGACGACCCCTATAGAAAAATAAAATAGCATTTTTAAAACATCCAGCAGTTCAAACATTTCTGACGCCCAAGGCTGTTAAATTCTATGTAACCGTTTATTTTATTAACTACTTCGTAGATACCAATGAACAGAGATTATCTTTTTGTTAAGTTTCAATATTTTTATTTTATATGCCACGTCTGTTTAGCTCACTAGATTAATAGAAGCCCCAGCTTCAGCATACATTTTGAAAAATTAAAATTGCAGCGGTTCCAAATCTGATTTAAGAATAGCCCTTTAACTAAAATGCATTAATAGTAAACATATTGCTTTTTAAAAATTATATATACTCCAGATACTGAACTGTAATTTTATGTTGCCTTCCGATGAGGCATCTTTCTAAATGTAGACTGCAACATTGTAATATAATAATACACTACTACTTTAATAACATTTTTTTTAAAAATCGTGTGTCTTTTTATTGTGTATTGGGTCCCTTATCAAATACTTATGAGATAACACCACGTTTTTCTTTAAAGTTATTTAAATAATAGTGTATTATATGGTGAGCGAAATTTTTATCTGAAACAAAGTCACAGAAATAGTCACAGAAAAAAGTCACAAAAATCTTTTTAGAAATATTTTGATTTATTTGTTAAGAATTGTAAAAAAAATTATGTTTATTGTTGTGGGTGTATTTTTTTATAGCATAAATTATTTATAGACGTTAAAAGCATTATGATTTATTACAATTGTAAGTAAAAATAATCTAAGATAATTAACTCAACAATCTCAACTTTTGTTACGTATTTAGGTAAATACGCGGTAGAAAAGTTAATTATAAAAGAAATTTAGGCACATTTTGCCCTAGGCTATTCTCTGGTCGGTTTCTCCTCAGTAGGCATTGTCCGAACATATTTTGTGTTGTTGACGTTATGTGTCAATGACAGCCTTTGAACCTTGTCGGCTTTCTGTTTTGATCCTAAGTATTGTTATGTAATGAGCGTGTTAATGTGGGCAGTAAAGGTGGTTGAACTAAATATAACTATTGTTGCCATGAGTTGAGGGCAGCAAGTCAGATGAACTTACCATTTCACGGTAATTTAATATTGATATTTAAAAAAAAAACACGATGAAAAACGTGGACTTTGGAGCATTCTATTAAATGCTACTAATCTTAAGTTTAAATTAATCTATCTATATACTACTAAAACTCAAGTTTGTTTACATGTTTGAATATTTTTTTTTTGTTTTTTTGTTTGTTTGTTTTTTTGTTTGGCTGATCGAGTATTGTGAATACTTGTATTCATCGTGGACAGCTGTAAAATAGTATGTAGGTAGAGAAAATTTTTGTTTTAAGACAGACTGTTAATGACACATTTACTTAAAGACGTTAATTAATTTATTGATTTATTCATAGGTAGATTAACCACTTTTTTTAAAAAAAAGATTTGAAAAACCACTAGACTCGACGGAAACAGTGACGTCACATGATGTGTTTATTTTTTTACCTCAACAATGGCGGCCTATCGAAGAAGATTGTGTTCCCATTCCAATGTTTAACGCGTTCTAAAGCTAATTTTCTGTCGGCTTTAACTTTAACAATACGTCCTTTCTTCTTCTTCGTTCTTAATTTTTGAATATGGTGGAGGATTCAGACAACAAGTCCAACTTCGTGGACAAACCGGACTGTGGTTTCCAGTTTGTCAGGTGTCCCATATAATTTTTCCCTGAGTGGGGTGGGCTGGGGCCAGTGTCTGCCTCTTGCCTGGCTATACAGAGTACATTCTTGGAGTACGTGCTCAGTGTTTTCCGGGGCCTTGCCACAAGGGCACATTTCGCTACACCCAACCTTCAGTTTTTTGTGCATGTGTTGATTTAGTCTGTTGTGGCCTGTTCTGAGTCGAAAGATTATGTATTGTTGTTTTCGTGTTAAATTGTAATAGCCGTCGTCTTTAATGTAGTGAGGGTGTGTGACAGACCTCATTTGCGTTTGTTTGTTTTTAATTATTCTTTTTATTTCTTTTGGGTGTAGCGAAATTTCCGGTTGTGGTTTCTTTCCCCCAATTTTTGCCAGCTGGTCTGCGATCTCGTTACCCTGGATCTGGCAGTGGCCCGGGATCCACTGCAGCACAATTCTGCTGCAGGTATTTTTTAGCCTCTCTAGTGCTGTCATAAGTGTTTGAATAAAGGACTCCGGATTTTGTAGGAATTGCAGGACTGATTTGGCATCTGTAAGAAATACAATCTGACTATTCGGTGATTCAGGGTGTTCTGACAGGAGGTTTGCTGCGTGTTCTAAAGCTTCTTTTTCTGCCCTAAAATTGTCGGATAGGCTGCCTGTGGCTATTGCCTTTTCCAGGCTTTCTCCGCTTGGCCATTCAATAAGGATGCCAGCCCCGCCGTTTTTTGTGGCATCTTCAGCTGAGCCATCTGTGAAAACTCTAATCCAGGTGTTGCTGGGGTACTGATCCTTAATGTGTTTGTTTGTTATTTTCTTAAGTTCTTCTAGATCATAGTCAGATTTTTTTTCCTATGGTGTCTATTGAGTCAATAATGGTTAAGTGACAGTGGGAGATCCAAGGCGGGGAGAGGTTTTGAGTTTTTATTGCTTCAGGAATGATATTTTCGATTTCATATTTCTTTTTCAGATTCTTTGCTTCTTTGATGAAACTTGTTCTTTGTAGTCTGGTTGATGGACTGGGTTTCTGGAGTTTTTGTTTTAGGTTATGGTTTTCCAGTGCCTCTAGCTTTGTGTATTGAGTGAGGATTTTTGATTCTCTTCTTTCTTCTATTGAGCTAAGAGCGGCTATTTCCTCCATAGCTTTTATGGGTGTTGTTTTCATGGCTCCTGTCATTATTCTCAATCCAATGTTCTGAACTTTGTCAATTTTGCTAATATTTGTTTTTGCTGCTGAGCCCCAAGCCGAAGCACCATATTCTAACGTAGGTCTCACATAGCTGGTGTAGGTTTTTTTCAGGATGTGGTGATTTGCTCCCCAGTCTGTTCCTGCCAGTTTCCTCATTAGATTAAGTCTTTTGATCCCATTACTTTGTGTGTTTTCTATTTGTTTTCTCCAGGTAAGTCGAGTGTCAAAAGTGACTCCTAGGTATTTGGGGTGGTCATTTTTTTCTAGCTCTTGGTTTTCTAGGGTAAGTTTCATTTTTTGATGTTTAGTTGATAAGGTGAAGATTGAATAAGTCTTTTTCTTGGTATTGATGGATAAGCCCCAGTTTTTGGTCCATTTGCCGAGCTTGTCAAGTGTTTCTTGAAGACGAAATTTTGAGGTACCAATATATTCCTCTGTGCTGATTAGTGAAAGGTCGTCTGCAAACATGCTTCTTTTTACTCTCCTTGGGATGTTTTCATTTAAGTCATTTATATAAATGAGGAAGAGAGTAGGAGCCAAGACTCCTCCTTGAGGGACTCCATTTTTTATAGTTACTGTGTGACTTCTTTTTCCTTGCATGGAGACTGATGCTTTTCGGTTGCTTAGGTAACCTTTTATCCAGTTTAGCATGTTATGAGATACTTGATGGTTTATTAGCTTTAGAATTAAGCCTTGTTCCCAAACCTTGTCAAAGGCTTTTTCAAAGTCGACCCACACTATTGAGGTTGGTTTTTTTTCTTGAAAGCCATCTTCTATTTCCTGAGAAATGAAGGTGATTTGGTCTTCAGTAGATCTGCACTTCCTGAAGCCTGCCTGTTCGTCTGCTAGTAGATTGTTCGATTCTAGAAACCAGGTCAGTCTGTTGTTTACTACTCTTTCCATCAGTTTACAAACGCAGCTTGTTAAACTTATTGGGCGATAGCTATCGACTTTGTTCCTGGGTTTTCCTATTTTTAGAACAGGTATCATGATTGCTTTTTTCCAAATATTTGGGAATTTCCCAGATTTCCAGCTTGCATTAAATATTTGGAGCAGTTTTTTCTTAGCATTGGGGCCCAGGTGCATGAGCATATCATTTGAGATTTTGTCAGGGCCTGGAGCTTGCTTAAGTTTGAGGAGCTTCATTGCTTCTCCGAGCTCCTTCTTGCTAATTCGAGCTATCATTCCAGTGGAGGAGGGTGGAGAGACTTTCTGTAGTTTTTCTTTAACTTCAGTTTGATTTTTAACCTCTTCTACTCTATGGTGGCTGATATTTATTTGTCCCACTTTGCTGAAGTGGGTTATAAATTCTTTTGCTGCATCCTTTTCTGTTTTGATCGTGTTTTCAATGTCGATGACTATGGGAGTAGCTCTGTTTTCTTCTTGGTTTAGCCTTTTTGCAATACTCCATAGTTTATGACCATCTCTATCTACATTGAGGTGTTCTGTTTTTTCTTGCCAGCTTTTCCTCAATGCAGTTAGATACTTTTTTCTAAAAACTGCGTTTGCTGATTTTAATTTTATGTTATTTTCTACTGTGGGATTTTCCTCAACAATGTTTCTAGCATCAATTGTCTCGTCATGGAGTATCTGGAGGTCTGGAGTCCAGTTTGGGATATAATTTTTCCTTGCTCCCCTTGGAATAGATTTTTTGGCTGCTAACAGAACTGCTTTTGAGAAGGCTGTGTATGACTTGTTCACCTGTTTGGTTTTACAGTTGATTGGTCTTGTGTAGGAGTCTGTGAGGGAAGAGAAGAGCTCCCAATTAGCTTTTTTGTAGTTCCATCTAGGGCGGGGGTAGGCTTCAATTGGCCTGTTTGATGTTTCTATCTGGATCAGGATTGGTCGGTGGTCGCTAGTGGCTAGTTGATCTGCAACTTCTCTTTTGCATTTTTTGGATATTCCATTAGTAGCAAAAGCTAGGTCGGGGGTAGACGTGGTTAACCAAGACCTTGAGTAAAAGGTTGGTTTGTCATCAGGTTTATTTAGAAGGATGAGCCTATTTTCTGCTTGCCATTCTTCAATTTCCTCTCCTTTAGCATTGAGGTCAGGGTAACCCCAGCTCTGGGAGTGGCTGTTCATGTCTCCCACAACCAGGCACTCTTCGCTGTTTGGCAGGGAGATGCGGTCCAGTTCCAGGTCCTTATCAGGAGGACAGTAGCAATTGAAGATATTTAGGTTACCTTCTGCAAGTATGAGTTTGGTGCCCATTATCTCAGATGCTGTTGAGTTTGGTATAACGATATCTGTTGTTGGAATGTCATTTTTTATGAGAATGAGGATACCTCCTTTAGGTCTGTTTTCCCTGTCCTGCCTTATGCAGGTGTATCCTCTAATAGAGAAGCGAAGATTGTTGTTGAGGTGAGTTTCTTGAATACAAGCAACGTCTACTTTATTTTCATGTAGGAATATTTTTAAGGCTTCCTTTTTTTTATGAACTCCCTCTGCATTCCACTGCAGGATAACAAGTAATTTGTTGTTTTCCTCACTATTTTGGCCAGTATAATTTACCTTCTGATCCTTGCCCCTGGCTGTCCAGGCAAGAATAGAGGAACTACCAGCTCGCTTTTGTGGGCTCCTTCGAAGCGGAGAGCCCGGCCCCCTACCTGCGCGGCGGGATTCCACAGGCAGGACGCCACTTCTGTTAGTCCTATTTCTTTCCTCCATCATAAAATTAAGCAGTGCGTGCCAGCATGTTATGCGCCATACTAGATGGCCCGTTGACTCCGACTTCAGCCTGCTTTTCTTTCTGGATTTGCTTCCATAGCCTTTGATCACCCAAGAACAAACTACAAGGCAGTAGCTGTTTGATTTTGGAGTTGTCTCTCCTAGATGGGTTGCTGTCCCCAGCTAACGAGCCCCATCTGCCCGGGTTTGGAGTTATAGCGCCCCATGCTCGCCGTTGAAGTCATTTCCTTGGATTTATGAGATGTTTTTTTATTAGATATCCTAACCAATGGATATCCCACCTCATCCTCCATGACCACAAACCAGTTGGTCCACGGCTGTTTATTTGGTATTCACAGCTAACCCTCATATCTAAGGGCCTCTCCCCTATCCGCCACCTGGGGACGCGCTCGGTAGGAGATGGTAGCTCCCCCAAGACAATACGTCCGTTTACTGTATTTATTACGTTCCAACACTTATATCAATTTTCAACTGTCTTTTTCATTTAGTTTTACGATAAATTTCTCTACATCTACAATCTGTCCAAGAAAGTTATTTATAGATCTAGATCTAGATCTAGCATCTAGGTCAAATCAAAGATTTATTAGTTATAGATCTAAATACAATCCAAAAAAAAACGAGACTTAAGCAAACCAGTCGTAGATCTAGAATATAGATAATTCTATCTAGATTTAGATAATAATGAGTTTCTATATACTAAAATATTTTAGACCTTTATTATTTTGTATAAATCTTTGTTTCGACTATGCAAATTTTGAAATGCTGGATCTGGGCCTATTTGCGTAGCTTAAGATTCATACGCGGCTTCGATACCGCTAATTTTGCTAAATTATAAACGTAAATTCTAAATATAGCTCAGTCGTAGATCTAAAATATAGATAATTCTATCTAGATTTAGTTAATAATGATTTTCTATATACTAAACTATTTTAGACCTTTATTATTTCATATACATATTTGTTTGGAATATGGTAATTTTGAAATGCTCGCTCCCGGGCCTATTAGAAAATCTAGATTCTAGATCTAGCAAGAAAAACTAAACTTAAGACTTAAGCAAACGAGTCGTAGAATCTAGATCTAGATAATTCTATCTAGATCTAGATAATTTCAGACCTTCTTTATTTTATATAAAAATCTTTGTTTGGCTAATTTAAGATAAAATTTAATTTGAAAGTTACTACTACTAGACTTAGTTCTAGATCTATGCGCGTAAATCAAGTTGCATAAGGAGACTCATAGTATAGTATAAAAATTCACTTGTGACGTCACGAGAAAATAGCTAAGTTGGTAGTGTAATCGGCTCTCATGCGGGTGGCACAGGTTCTAGTCCAATACGTCAATGATATTTTTTTTTCAATTTTTTTTTTCAGATGTGAATGATAAAGTTGCCTATCTAAACTTGGCAGGATACAGGGCAGGTGAAGTAGAGTTCATCTGTTTCTTTGTCCTAAGCATATGAAAGGAAAGTGTGGTCAGAGACAGGCTCGGTTGGAATCGTTTTTAAACGATAAAACATGTTGTCTGAGACTTGGCGGGACACTGGGCAGGTGAAGTAGAGTTGGGTAGGTCACCTGTGACGTCAGAATATGAAGGGATAGTCCGAAATCGGTGTTTTCGGTGTTTTTAAAAGATAAAAAACATATTTTTGAATGTGGGGTCTGTTTTTTGTGACGATAAGTGACACTGCAGTAGCGTAACGAGGAGGGGGGGACGACATATGTCCCCGGGCGCCGACCTTAAAGGGCGCCAAAATGGGTTGGAAAAATAAATTGAAAGGTTGAGGGGGGTGCAAATCGAAAGTTTGAGTGGGGGGGGGGGTTCAAATCGAAATCTTGAGGGGGGGGTGCACATCAAAAGTTTGGGGGGGGGGGGGGGGTTGCAAATCGAAATCCTGCGGGGGGGTTTTCAAATCGAAAAGTTCGTCCCCGGGCGCCGGGAAGGGTTGCTATGCCTCTAAGTGACAGACGTGTTGTTTTTTGATGGATGACCCCCGAAACCCACAGTTATCCAACGGATGACGGGTAGTCTAGTTACAATCTACAAACTTCATAATAACTATTTTTAGAAAGAAAAAACATCCAGGCCACGGAAAATACGGAGCAGGTCCTCCAGGAATGTTCTTTATTTAGCCAGGCGCGAGTCAGACACTGGCCCCTGCTCACCCCACTCAGGGAAAAAAATTATATGGGGCACCTGCTGATCTGGAGACCACAGTCCGGTTTATTCACGAAATTGGACTTGTTGTCTGAATCCTCCACCATATTCTCAATTAAGAACGAAGAAGAAGAAGAAAGAAGATGAATTATAAAAATTCCTATGTGTATACAGCCATCACACATTACATTACATTTAATTAATCCTAAGTTAATTTGCACTCTCTAAATATTTAATACATAAAAGTATTAACAGATATCATGCAAATATATATTTGTGACATTTTTTCCTGTGACTTTTTTCCTGTGACTTTTTTTCCTTTGACTTTTTTTTCCTGTGTTTTTTCTTTCCTGTCTAGTATTTACATTCGTTTCTACCAAACCCTATACGGAGAGATGGGCATACACATTAACACATGTGCCTTATACAGTCCGATGTAAAGCCTGTTGAACGCGTTCAAGCCTATCACAGCGTGCAGTAACAAGATAACAAATCAGCCGTTGGCTGAATGACAAGAAGGGGATGAGGGGGATAAAGGGGATGGAAAGTACATTCTTCAAACTCATGATCATGTCCATGCCACATAAACAAGCTAAGGTAACACAACACCTGTTGGGGTTAGGAATACGTTTAAAATATAAATTACAAGAGCGGTTACCGTTGTTTTACCAACGGCCCATGAAACAATTTAAACAATATTAATTCGCAGTGCTATTACAATCGGAAGCTTTATTTACTGAATATTTAAAAACATTATTAATGACACGATAGCATAGACAATTGAAAAAAACACAAAGTGGTAAAATTATAAATTTGGGAGTTCTTTGTTTCCAATCAAAATAGTTTCTAACTTTAATGCTTTAATGTTTTTTATTTTTTTTAGAAAACGTCCATTTCATAAAGATATTATTATATATTTTGTTTTAATTTGCTTACTTAAAAAGAAAATTATTTTATAGTGTAAAAAATGTACTATTTTTTTTTAAACAAAGTGTTGTAAACATTAAAAACACAAATGATTTTCTGTTTAGAAATTTATGTCAGAAATAGCTGTGCTGTAAATGTGATGACAAAGCGTTCAGCTCTATAGCAGATGGACAATGTAGGTTGTCAAAAGTATGCTTGGAAACATTTCGGATAAAAGTAATTATCTTCAACACGTGGGTGCCTAAAGTATTTAAATAATGCGGGTATTAAAATACAATGTTGCTGCTAATTAGTGCGTGGTTGTTTGTCCTCACATGCTGGGCTTAAGAATAATTAGCTTTGATCAAACAACTACAAAGACAATTCAAAAATTAAACTGTACATTTCTCCAATACCTAACTCATTATTATTTAGATTGATGTTAACAAATTCATGAAAACGTATATAAAATGCAGTTATTTTCTGTACAGCCAGACATCTACAATTTTTCTTGTAAAAATTACGATTTCTTCCCTGTAAGTAGTAATTTTGTAATTTTGACGATTTAAATGTTCGTTTTCATGTATCACATTTTGTGTTGTTATCAGTGGCTTCCAGGCCTTGAAGATTGGGGACTCAGATAGTAATCTGAGGGAGCCGGACGTTTTCCCGAAAGACACTTGCCCGAATGCCGTTTTCGTGAAGGCCAATTCCCCGAATGGACACTTGCCCGAATGCGACAAATGCCCGAATGGACACTTGCCCGAATGCAACAAACGCGCGAATGGACACTTGCCCGAATGCGACAAATGCCCGAATTAATACTTAGTTGTGTTGAAAGGAATCTATTCCATAATAAAAAATTTAGAAAGAAGAAAAATAGTAAATATATAAATAAGTCACTACTTTTAATATCAACTTCCTTAAAAAAGGATTCTTCACAATGCAAAATATATGCTGCCAAATCTTTGATTTATATCTATATTAAGGGTATTTCATAATCATTACTGCGAAAAGTGCATAATAGCCCATTTGACTTACTTCATATCTAAATGTCTGTTTCAGTAATTAAAAATGTACGGAAAACTTCTTGTTGTGCTGGGTTTAATTTCAGCAGTTTCATCAACTAGCTGTAAGTATTTAGTTGTTACTTTAGACAGATATCATGTATCCTTTCAAATTCTTTATTTTGTTTAAAAAAAGTATTTTTTGCTAATGGGATTCAATTTATTTTTCTGCAAAGTAAACGTAGTCTACAATCGAATTTATTTAGATTGTTTAAGGACGAACTAAATTCTAATATGTATAATATAACATTTATCTGTTTCACTGTAAATCTTTCATTTGATCTAAGTCACATTTTATTGATACCCATGATAATTTTGTTAAACAACAAAATAAAGACGATATAAACACGTTATTAACATCAAATTAAAATTGTAAGCAACGACATTACGTTTTCAGATCCAGCATGCTTACAAAAGCTGGCTGAAGAAGTGGCCGGTCACAAAGAACAAGGTCTTGTCCCCTTTGGAAACTCCAACACCTATCAGGTGTCTGGGAATGATAAGCAAAGTGTTCAAACTATCAAGTTCGCCAAGCCTTACGGGACGCCACCGACTGTAGTGTTATCAGTGGAAACTATGGATACAAGTAAAGACACAAACTTGAGGTATTCGGTTCGTGTGGGACAGATCACAACAACCGGTGCTCAAATCACTTTGGCTACATGGGCAGACACACAGATCTTCGGTGCCTATGTGCGCTGGTATGCATTCGATTAGAAATCTTAAACAGAATTTAAAGACGGCTCTTTATTTTTCCATAACTGTTCTGATACTAACGTCTTTAAAATTATGTTTTAATTTCTGCTCAATAAAAAGCAAAAGTGGCAAAAGTATTTGGTGTTAATTTATTTT